TCCACTCTTGGTAATACTGTATGGAATGTTTTTGCGGGTATCTGCTAATGACACTGATGTGTATACTTGCAATGCTTCCAATGCATTTGGTACTTCTACTGCCAGCTCAAGAGTCAAAGGTAAAGAGAGCTCATTTCTTTTTTATGTTTTTACTGTTAAGAAATGACTTAGATACTGATACACAATATATATAGAATCAATCAAGCATTTCCTTTCTCACATAATCAATTTACAATTCCCTTTCAGTTCGTTTGAATGTCTCTCTAGTTGGAGTCAATCCTCAAGGAAGTAGATGCGATCAACTTAAGAGGAGACCCCCTGGTGTGGACTATTGTGCATTTGTTGGAGATAATCTCACTCTTTCCTGCAGAGTGAATGACCCACAAGCTACTACCATTATATACAAATACGAGGGAGGCTCTTCCAGAGGCAGTGATGTTTCATTAACTCCTGTTCCTTCAGTCGCCGAGGGAAGGTACCTGTACAATGCAACCAATGACTGTGGAAATAGTTCTGATATGTTAAACCTCAGAGTTTATGGTAAGGAGACATACATATTATTTAATTCCTGCAAGCTTCAAAGTTTTCATAAAACTTAAAATTAGTATAATCAATCATAAAGGCTTTTTTTAATTTGAACTCTCAATACAGATCCTGCAAGAATTGATCGTCAGCAGACCCTACCACCTCCAGCTGACTTTAATGAAGAAGTTTTTGGTGCTGGTAGATCTGATGAGCCAATTAATGTCACTTTTGGTAGCAGTGTCAAACTGTTCTGTCCATTCACTGGAATAGGCCAAGCTAATGCAACATGGCTGAGAGAACAACCTGATGGATTCACTGCTGAAATTAATACCAGTCTAGCAGTCTTCTTTATGAATAATACTGGGAATATGTCAGTATTGACCATCTCTCCTTTTACTGAAGAGTTTGAAGGGACTTATCGCTGCACTACAACTAGCATTGATTTTGATGATGCAGGAGACGTTGTGCTTCAAGGTAAAAAAAATTCTAAGTTATTTGTCTATTTAAGGTTAAAAATATTTTAATTTTTACTTTGCTAATTAATTATTTTAACTGCATTTTTATCTACTTTGCTTTATTTTGTAGAGGCTTGTGATGATATAATTGGAACCTGTGAGCACCTTGTGGCCAAGGGTTACTGTTTGATTTACTTTATTAAGAGGTATTTTTGCTGCTGGACTTGCAGGCAATACTGAAGAGGAATGCAGTCTTACACATGCATGCACCAGAACTTAAAGAAACCATGGCACTGTAAACAATTTACAATACATTTTGCTGTCTTTAGTGCTATAAACTTACAAACCCATCATTACCCATTTTTGTTCTTTAGTTTAGCTTTAGGGGCATGGTTTGTGAACGGGTAAAAATAAATAGGTTAGAACAAAAGGCTATTCTTGCCACAAACAAGTGAAAAAGAGCTTTACTAGTGTGGGCTGTGTGGTGATTGCATAGTCTAGTGATTGCACAGTTGTGTTGATCTGTATCTGCTTAGTCATGTTAAAGGGTTAAAATAAGCTCAAAACTACGCCTACATTCCGTGCAAATTAATTAATCTACATTGCAAGTTGAGACTTGAGAGTGATAAAAGTGTTTTACTACATCACTAGAAACAGGAGGTGAAAATGCAAAGTTTGGTCTTGTTTGTCTCAGCACTGGTAAGCATAGTATAGTCGAAATAATAATAATAAATTATTATTATTTACATTATTATTATTTGAACAGGTTGCTGTGTTTGGTATTACTTATGCCCAAGACAACAACTACACAGAGGAGTATAACTGGAATGGCACACTAAGTATTCCTGTAGATGGAAGACAGGCCATTGAAAGTAATGATAGCATGTCATGTGGTTTATATATAATAACAGACCAGGACCCAGCCTTTTTGTCATGGCCTCCATGAGTGTGTGAATGGGTTTTAGTGCATGATTGGGGGTTTGTGATAATCGGTTTCTTGCATTGTGTAGGTGGTAGAATTTATGTTCAGCTTCCAAGCAGCTCCACTCCAATTGATATCAGAATACGTGAGAATGTTAGTGTGACTCTGGATTGTGGCCATTTTGTAACGCTAAACAAATCGAATACATTATGGAGGTTGAGAAAAAGAAACTTTGATGGTGATCTGGAATCTGCTAATTCTCTCATATCAAAAATTTATCCGTAATGTTAATGTTGTTGTGTATATTAAGTAAATTCATCATGCATGTAGTGATGACGGAATTAAAATCTTTGGAGCTGGTACTAACAACAGCAACAGGTTTTTACATGTAGCTAATCCAACACTAGCTTCAAGAACTGAGCAATCAAATGTTGGAGAGTTTGAATGTTATTTTTGTTATTATGAACACAACCCATTAACTGGTAATCAGGAGCATAAATGCAACATTCATAAAGCTGATATCAATATAATAGGTATAATATGTTGTAGTAGAAATTAATTATAATAATTTTTAGGTTCTCAGCCATTGATGAATCGTGCTACAATGTTGCCTTTAAATTTGATAAGAATAGGAACCAAAATTTGCATTGATCCACAATCTCCAGTATTTGAGGTCAGAGTGGTATGTGCTCAGATTGGAAGCATTAATCCTGAGCCATCCTCATCTTACACATTTAATAATCAACCCATAAGTACTGCCTATTCTTTCAAAAGCCATTTCTTCATAAGCCAATTTATTTTTGAGACTGGATTAAACAATTTGATACATGTCTATCCTGAACTCTTGATGGAAAAGAATATGCAAGGTCCATTAAACTGCGTCCTTCAAAATCGTTTTGGAAATGATTCTGAAACAACAAAGATATTGTACAGTAAGTAGAATATTATGTTTTTGACCCTGCAATAAATTTGATCAATGGAAAAACTATTGTTGTTCCATTTCCATTACTAATGGTACTTTTAGATGTGACAGCTACATTTACTGGTTTTATTAATGGTGAAACAAATAGATCTACACAGTGTCCATATGGCTATTCTCCGAATACTTTATGCCCTCGAATTGGACAGCAAGTCAATTTAAATTGTTCTACAAATTATAACAATCCTTACAATGTGATCTTTCCGAACTCCAGCATTGTTACTAATAGGAATTTGAGGTAAATAAATTTACATGATGCAATGGTTTATATTCCTTCTTACTTTTATCCACATGTATATTTTAGCTTCATTATGAAGCCTACTGATTTCGGCTCGTATACTTGTACTAGTTGCAATGACTGCAATGAAGTATCTAACACAATTGTATTTAAAAAAAGTAAGGTTTAGTGATTGTAGTTGATTTTAATTAGGGTGGCACCACTTTAAAGCCCAACATTAGCAACATACATTGAGCAGCTTTGTTGGCTATACCTTTGATGTGGTCAGGCAAGAACAAAGTTGACCACAACTTTGACCAACAATCTATGACCAACAACAAAGTTGCCACAACAAGGTTGCTCAATGCTAAGTCTGTAAGTGGAGAGGGTAGACTAGCTCAGTGTATGTTGATATGAATGACTTTGATAACTTGAATGTAAGTGAGAAAGCTGGCTACATAGCTGCTAGCTGGTGTTTCAAAATAACGCAAGACTAGTGGTTGTAGTGGTAATATTAACAACTTTATGACACTGCATGAGTAATTGTCTACAGACTTGTGCTGAAGGTAAATGACAATGATACAAGTCATATAATAAATAACCTATCATATGTAGTGTTGAGACTATTATTTCTCATCCCACTTTTTAAGAGCTAATCAAGACAATTTTATTATTCTGTTTCAACGGTAATAAAACATGTCCAGGAGGTGTGAAAATTGTTGAGTATTATTCTGATCCTTGTCTAACTTCTCATTGTGAGGATACTGTTTGCACACCTAACCATTGTGGAGAATGTTCTGCTCATTATTGGACAGCTTATTCATTGAAAGCTGGGTGTGGTCACAACGTCATACAGTTTTACATTCTTCTAGTTATTTTGCATATTTCTGGTTGCCAGATTGATTAGATACTTGAAATATGCTCAATTTTATGTGTACTATTCTCTGATATTTGGGTCAGGGATCCGGTCTCTTAGACTTTTTGTCTTTTTCCAGGTTAAATTTGTTGCGATCTTATTCTTTATAGGCATATGTGATCTTCCTAAAGAATCTGGTCCATGCTTGGCATATTTTGAGAGGTGGTATTATAATGGAAGATCAGGTCTCTGTGAAAAATTCATTTATGGTGGCTGTAGAAGTAATAGCAACAACTTTATGACACTGAGTGATTGTCTACAGACTTGTGCTGAAGGTAAACAACTGAAAAAATAATGATATATATGCATGCAATGTTTTACAACCATGCGCAAAATTTTTAAGGTCTTGAGGTCTGTAAATTTGTGAGTTTGCCTTAATTTTTGCAAATTTATGATGCCTGACATCTTGTACCATAATAACTTGTTTTTTGTGGAATTAAATTTTACAAATTTCCAAAGAATTGCGAAATTTACAGCCCTCAAAAATTTTGCACTATACAGTGTGTCTCATCTTTTATAAAATAGATGGTTAATTTGCCTTGGTTTATTAGTTGCATAATTTGTAATTTTATTTTCAAGGTAATAAAACATGTCCTGGAGATGTGGATATTGTTGAGTGTTATTCTGATCCTTGTCAAACTTCTCATTGCACTAACTATGAGGATGCTGTCTGCATACCTAACCATTGTGGAGAATGCTCTGCTCATTATTACAACAGTTCTGGACACAATGTTACAATGATGTGCAGTACATAAGATATATGTGACTCACACTTCTCATACTATATAGCTTGAAATTTTTGTGGGTTTATATTTTCGTGGTTTGCTCCTAGTGGGGCAATTTGTGGTTTAATTTTCATGGTTGACAGTTTATATAGCCTATAAGGATGGCACTTCAATTTTTTCCTGGGGCTAAATTTCGTGGGAAGTTTCACAATCACGAAAACCACGAAATTTACATTCAACGAAAATTTCAAGCTATACCGTATTATGGACAATGTATCATTGAGACAATGCAATTATTTAAAAATTAATATTTGGATTTTAGATAATTGCCCACCAGAAAAACCAGCAGTTAGGTGTATTACCAATCCTTGTGATCATGAAACATGTCCAAACTTGCCTCCAACTAAATGTCAGTTGGATGTGTGTGGATCCTGCATGGCACATCATTACTTGAATGGTACTGAAGTAACTGATATTTGCAGTAAGTGACTTTTTATGGTGTACATGTATTTCTATTTAACAACAATGTATTATGGTGAAGAATTACATGTAATATTGGCCATTGGCAGTTTTTCAACTATAAAATTTGCCAATTTTTTTAAATCTGAGCATGCTAAATACCATATAGTGCAAAATTTTCTAGGGCTGTAAATTTTGCAAATTTGCCTAAAAATTTATTTTACAGATTTAATTCGCGAATTTATGCTGTCTGCCATTTTTATGCCCTAATAATTTGATTTTGACGGAAGTAATTTTTGTGAATCTTCAAAAAATTGCAAAATCAGTGAAATTTATAGTCCTCAAAAATTTTGTGCTATATGGTAACACGTAGTTCAAAAATTGCCAATGTATTGTATAATTCTCTGATTGCCTATTACACATCTTGTGAGGTATTTGCAGGGTATTCAATCCCACATGTATTTTTTTGCTTGTTTTCAAATAGATGCATGTCCAGCTGATGGCCAGATATTCAAAAACTGTGGTGGCTCATGTGAGAGGACGTGTGATGATGTACTGTCACAGGATCCTTTTATTTGTGATGTACATTATTGTGTACCTGATTGTGGATGCCCTGCAGGACAAGTAAGTTTACTTATATTCTAAACTTTTTATTGGACATATTGGTGGTGCTTAATATTGGCAATTCTATGATTTGAGGTTTTCTATTTGTGGTTTTTGGGAGATTTTACAGCAACATGACATTGAGCATATTGCTTAGAATGTGACAAATGTTAAGATTTTATTTTGGTGATCTTATCAATAGCCCACCAATTCCTAAATAAAACTCTACTAATTATTTTTTTCGCTATACAGTAATTATTAATATAATATTATCATAATCATAATTTTTCTTGGATGTATGAAAATCATATGTACATGTAGGTATTGGATAAATCAAACCAAAGGTGTGTATATCCAGACCAGTGTCTCTGTACAGGTCAATGTGATCCAATACCCAATAACTGCTCAAGTATATCTTATGATGAATGCAACTGTAGCATATGTCAAGGTAAGCTGTATACCAGGCAGAATTGTTCAAATAAAATTAATTTTAAATAAATTATTGAGATGTGGGATCAGTTGCATAGTTGTAATGCTGCTAAAAAATTAGGTCAAAAATTCTGTAGTACGGTTTTTTGGCCAAATTTTATTAAGAATAGTTCAAGTAAAAATCTTCATTTTAATTTTTTTGACAACATATGCATGGTCTGATGTTATGTATTTAGTTTGACCTGATTATATGGTCAAATTTGAATTTTTAATAGTGCTGTGCTTGTCAGCTCATGAAGTGTGCTGTTTAGTTTACTTAGCACGTTTTGTAGGAAACCCTGATAAGAATATGTTATCGCTTTCTTGACACAACCAGTACTGTAAATCTGGTAATTTTCAGTGGTTATAAAATAATTTTCAATATATTAATAGACAAAAAAAGTGTGAGCAATTCTAAATTTAAAACTTTTCAAATGAAATTATTGTAAATAAAAATAAAAATTTCAACGTGAAATAATTGTAATTCTTAGTTTGTTTTACAAAAGGAATGTAATTAAATGTGTAATTGTAATTGAGACTTTTTAATTGAACCCAAGTCTGAAATTATTCTTATTATATTGCATTGTATGTACATAGATTGCTCTATCGATGGTCAGCTGTATCACAAAGAGGAAGCAAGCTGCCCAAAGACTTGTTCTAATCGTTATCTCTTATGCAGTGGTGATACAAAGCCTGGCTGCTCTTGCCCAGAGGGTCAATTGATTGACGAAATGAAAAATCAGTGTGTTAATCCTGATGATTGCTCCAGTAAATAACTTAATACATTGTGTTACACAATTAGTTATGGTTTATTCTATCTTTTAGAAGTTAATCCATGTACATTAGATCCTCAGCCAGGGCCATGTACTGCTAGTATAACAAGATACTATTATAATTACACTACTGAGACATGTCAAGAGTTTACATACAGCGGTTGCTTTCCTAATGAAAATAACTTCCTTACTCAACATGACTGTGAAGAAAAATGTAGTGGTAAGCACATGAAATAACTGCACGATATTAATTTGTATTTTAGTCATAATTATTATACTGTTTAATACTTAGTCATAAATATTTTTATGCCTTCATAGATTGCTATCCAGTTTGTACTCGTGAATATTGTTTTATTAATAGAAGAGCAACATGTTCTCTGTAAGATATAATTGACATGATGGTCATTTATATCCTTCCACATTCAGACCTTCATCATTGCCTGGTAGTGTTAAAGAATGCCCAGGAGGATGTACCATATCCAATTGTGGTGCATGCTATTATTCATATAATGATCTTCCAATCCCAAATGTTTTCAGGGGTTGTCCAACACATTGTCCAGTAACTAATACTACAGTGGATGAGTCTTGTATGCAATTTTGGGGAACTTGCATTGAGATGGCTTACAATCAGTTATACGAAGATGTGAGTTATTATTACTAGCCAGTCTTGCAATTGTAACTTTTCTTTTAAAAGGTGCCAACACATGAGAAAATAAAAGATAACTTTCGATGCTGGGAACATCCTTGCCACATTCCATAAAATTTTACTATTTTTGGTTTTTGGTTTTTGACTCTACCTTTATAGGTTTTAGTAATTTAATTTTTTTTTGTGTGATTCATTACATCGATTACAACCAATTGCACTTTTGATAGTCTACTGAAAATATGAAATAATACAAAGTGGTTCAGTTTTCTCGGCCTTGTATTAAAAAACAAACAGAAGCTAGAATATTGTCGACTTGTCATCGATGGTATCTTGTTTTTACAAAGCTAATTATAGCTAGAAGATTTGATGTTACACATGATTGTGAGGTTTCATTATTTTTGTACTCTTAAACTGTGCTGCCTGCTGCATCATTCATTAATCAATTTTTTCATTTTTTGTGCTTTGGGCCAGTTTGGGGGCGTGGTAAGTTTATGTAAACGGGTTAAAAATTGTTGCCTCAATATGCCTGGTAAGAAGTTTAAAGAGCCAAACTCTAAAGCAGTGGCCGCTAAAGAGAGGAAGTCAGCGGCTAAGAGAGAAGAAGACGAAAGGAAAAGACAAGAAGAGGAGGACCAGTACTGGAGGGACGATGATAAACATGTAGCGAGGAAACAAGACAGAAAGGTAGAGAGTATGATTCAATTTATTCTTCATTCCCTTAATTTGTGATATCAGTTATGAAGTTTTTGCTCTATAGAAAGTGTCTACGACGTATGAATGTAGTTTTTGGGTGGTTTTTTTACTTCATTCTTGCCCTATATTGAAATTGAAATTTTAAAGTTGTTAGCCCAACCAAAATTTAATGTAAATTTTTATAACTATATACATGTATATTCATTGCTATATTTTTGTCGTAGGCTGACAGAGAGAGAAAGCGTCAAGATCAGCTTGACAAGAAACTCGAAGCAAAGAAACTTCTAGAAGCCGAAGAACAGGGCTTGAAAGGGAAAGCCTCTTCACGTCCTCCTCCAAAAGTAACAAGAGCACAGATCGCCGAATCACAGGCCTCTAGCGGAGCCACACCCCTCCCAAAATCAGTAGTGGAAGTAGACCCATTGATAGAGAATCCTAATCATTTAATGCAACAGAGATCTCTAGAGGGCCATCACGACGCAGCAACTGTTGATGAAGCGATTGCTGTACTTAAAGTTAGTGGACCTGATCAAGGACTTGACAGACATCCGGAGAGGAGAATGAAAGCTTCTTATGCTGCATTTGAGGAGAGAGAAATAGCCAGACTCAAAGCTGAGAATCCTAACCTTAGGCTGTCTCAAGTGAAGCAGTTGGTTAGGAAGGAGTGGATGAAGTCGCCTGAAAACCCAATGAATCAACCACACAGTTCCTTCAATGAGAAATCATGATGGCTGATCTGATACTGTGTATAATATATGTACATGCATATAGTGCAGAAAACTATTTTCTATAAAATGAGAGAAATATGATTTTAACATAATTTATTTAATTATAATAATTTAAATGCTATTCTCTCACTCTTATTATTATTGGTAGTTTGGTATTACTGTTCTCTTATTTTTATTTCAGTTGATAATTATGAATAGAATGGATAATACTATATTCTTCTTCATCGTCATACAATGTGCTGAATATTATTAACTGCATGTTTTGGCTCATTTTTCACTCACAAAAAATTTTAAAATCAACATCACACATACATACCACATATCAGCAATAATAGCACAGCATAAAGGAAATAATAATTATAGCTTTTTTAAATCAAATTTAAGTTTAATTGAGAGCAACTAGTAAGTGTCAACCAGTGACCTATAATCATGATAATTGATAATAATAATATCAACTACTAATTAATGACACAAACCTTGTTACGATGTTCTTGCTAAAGTCTTGAGTTGAAATGTCAGACCAGGAAGTGAAAGTCATGCTGTAGACTGTGTTTGGAGTCATTAAGAATCCATTATCACTATAGACAATAAGAATAGAACACTTTCAATACTTGCAGTATTGAGTATACATGTGTATTAAATATTGAGAATAATCTCACCTGAAATATCCTTCCAAAGCTCCACTATCTAACATCACATAAACTGCAGTTGCATCAGATTGGAGACTAAACTAAAAACAGTCAAAAAGTATAAGTTATATTTTAGCAATTATTAATGATAATATCATAATAGAGACTTACTGATACTTCATTTGATGATATTGACATCACATTACTGACTGTTATTTTAGCTGATGGAAGATTTATTTTTGTAAAGTTTCCAGGAAAGAAATGAGTAGAAGAAAGGATTGTATTGGAACCATCTACATGTACATAAATATTGCATTAATACAAAATTATTATTTTTTAATATTTTAAGTAGTAAGCATAACCTTGAGTTATCCAAATATGTAGATAAGCATCATTGACTGTCAGGCTTCCTTGAAATATATCACTAATCTTGTATTCAGCTACTTTTGTTCCTGTAAATCCTTCAGACTGTAAGTTTGGCATACTCTTCTGAGATACTGTTTTACCCTATACACCATACCCAATCAATAGTACATAGCTATTGAGTATAGTACTATCTTACATCCCAAGATATGATGTCAACTGAAAGTGAATACTTAGCAGTCATCTGTGGATCATCGACAGTGACATAAACTGCAATAGAGCCATTCAATTGATACGCAGTGACAGAGACATCAGAATAAATCTATAGCACATTAACAGACACAAAATATTTTTAAAATCAATGCTTGTATATACCGTATAGCGGGCAAATTTGGAGGGGCTAAATTTTGGCGAATTGCTAAATTTTGGTGATTGGTGGATGCGAATTTGTGGCCACGTGCCATTGAGCAGGCGTATAATAGCTCAAAATGGTGGGTTTTTATTTTGGTGAATGGCTATCAAAATGCCAAATTCACCAAACTTAACCCTCTCCAAAATTTCCCGCTATACGGTAAGCACTTACTCTCCTCATTGCATAATGCAGTAACTTCCATCTTCCAGCATATTCAACAGAAGACCAGGTCTGTGCCTGCCAGATATCATTCTATTATAATAAATTAAATAAATTCAACCATCATAAATGACTGATACTCACTAGTTGCCAGTACAGTGTACCACGAGTGTATGCTCCAGCTTCACTCAGTAACCTGTGATAATGCTCAGCCTCTGATCCTATGCATATAACTTGAACAACTTGAGATAAGTAGATGAAATCCTTAAATTGTTGAACTGAATCAGTACTATAATATAAAATAAAAAAAGATGGAATTATTCATGCATTATCAACAAGTGTATAAATTTAAGTTTATTATAGAGTATAATATTTACTGTGAGAATAAAAAAATTTAAGCTCAAATTGTTTAAAATTTTATTCAACGAAATGTGCAAGCTATTATAGTATTTCAGTCTCACCTGTTTGGTAGATGAAAAAATTTAGCCATCATGTTCTGCATTTGCTTATTACCATCAGGGTGATGCTGTCTATGGCTAGTAAAGAATGGTGAGTCATTGCTCCAATCCTGCAATAACATTCAATAGAGTGTAAATATGCTATTTTACATATTGCATCATAGTGTCTCTAGCTTACATCTGGTTTTGAAATTGTTGAGAGCGAGTAAAATGAAGGATAGCTTTGAAAACCAAACTCACTCGCAAAACGAGGCCGAGGGAAAGTTGAAACATCATTACAAGTACTAAAATAGTCGTACCTGCAAAATTACGTTTTATCATTAGTAATTGTAGTATGGTTGTATTGACCTGTGTATGTCACCAACAGTGGTGTTCTGTGAGTCTCCCCATCGTTGTACATATATGCCCATCACTGGGTCATCAACTTTAGCTCCATTTGAGGGACTAGCTGGCCAATAGCTCCTTGTGGTGTCCTAAAGTCAGAGAATTACAAGTAGGTTTTGAAAACTAGAAAAGGCTAAGAGAGCTAGAATTCTTACATCTAATTATGATTGCCCATGGTTTTTTTCAAAAATGGCTCCAAAATCAGTCCAAATTTTTATTACATTTTCTGATACATATTGATGTCCTTATGCTGTGTAGAAAGTTTGAGCTAATTCCGGCTTAAATTTTTCAAGTTACAGCCATTTTAAGAAAATGCCAAAAATCTGAAAAATTCACTGTACTATAGCCCATGGTTTTTTCAAAAAAATGGCTCCGAAATCACCTCAAATTTTTATTACATTTTCTGATACATATTGATGTCCTTATGCTGTGTAAAAAGTTTGAGCTGATTCCGGCTTCAATTTTTCAAGTTACAGCCATTTTAATAAAACGCTAAAAATCTGAAAAATGCCCAAGGCCCATGGTTTTTTCCAAAAAATGGCTCCAAAATCACCTAAAATCTTTATTACATTTTCTGATACATATTGATGTCCTTATGCTGTGTAAAAAGTTTGAGTTGATTCCGGCTTTAATTTTTCAAGTTGTGGCCATTTTAAGAAAACGCTAAAAATCTGAAAAATGCCCAAGGCCCATGGTTTTTTCCAAAAAATGGCTCCAAAATTACCTAAAATTTTTATTACATTTTCTGATATATATTGATATTCTTATGCCGTGTAGAAAATTTGAGCTAATTCTGGCTTCAATTTTTTAAGTTACGGCAATTTTAATAAAATGCCAAAAATCTGAAAAATTCACTATACTATTATAGTCCATGGTTTTTTCGAAAAAATGGCTCCGAAATCACTTCAAATTTTTATTACATTTTCTGATACATATTGATGTACTTATGCTGTGTATAAAATTTGAGCTGATTCCGGCTTCAATTTTTTCAAGTTATGGCCATTTTAATAAAACGCTAAAAATCTGAAAAATTCATTGTACTATTATAGCCCATGGTTTTTTTCCAAAAAATGGCTCCAAAATCACTCCAAATTTTTATTACATTTTCTGATACATATTGATGTCCTTATGCTGTGTAGAAAGTTTGAGCTGATTCAGGCTTCAATTTTTCAAGTTATGGCCATTTTAATAAAATGCTAAAAATCTGAAAAATTCATTGTACTATTATAGCCCATGGTTTTTTCGAAAAAATGGCTCCGAAATCACTTCAAATTTTTATTACATTTTCTGATACATATTGATGTACTTATGCTGTGTAGAAAGTTTGAGCTGATTCCGGCTTCAATTTTTACAAGTTTTTAAAGTTTCTCCAAAATCAAACTAAAGTACCTCTACTATAGTACAGGGACTTTGGCCAAATTTTTTTCAAAAATGAGTAGAAAGAATTCTTCATTTTTATCATGTATGAATGTGCCTTCAATATACCTCTTCCCAGAGTGTTGCTCTAACAGTTGAGTCATACAGTAATGTGTAATCAACCAGTTTAGCTGTATCACCAATAGCATATCCCTATACATAAAGGTAAATAAAATAAATAAATATATAAATAAAATTAATAAATCTTGTTTGTGTGTGTATATACGTACCTGGTTCTCATTGTTCCCACTCCACAGTACAATGCTAGGATGATATCCTAACCTCCTAACATTATCAATCACTTCTTCTCTTACATTCTCTAGAAAATCCTACATAACATAGCAAGGAAATAAAAAATAAAATGAACAAAGTCCAGCAATACAATAGTTAGTGACACTTAGTGCTTTAAGCAAATAAACTGCTGTTCACACAAGCATTTTTTGATTAAAATTAAATAATCTGTACACTAACAACAGGTGCATGTACTACACTACATTAAAGTATACTAGTTCATATCTTATGCAGTAAATGCCACTCACTCTGTCCCTAGGATAAAGTGATACAGCAAACATAAACTCTTGCCACACCATCACTCCATACTCATCACACATGTCATAAAGCCAATCAGGTTGATAGAGACCACCTCCCCTATACAAACAATTGATGATACAAATAGATAATATTCTAATATTCTGAGGTTATGGTATATGTACCATATTCTGATCATGTTCTGGTTCCCTTCAACTGCTGATTTTAATAATCTTTCAAAAACCTCGGGTGTTGCTCTAGTGACAAATGCATCCATCGGAATGAAGTTTCCTCCTTTGATAAAAATAGGATACTTTCCCTCTGAAATGAAGAATGGATTATTGTTTATGCACTGTACTATATACTTGAATCTGTTTGCTGGAAGTAAAATAAATATCCTTTTTCATTATTAGGAGGTCGTTCATCAGAGATGACTTTAATATTTCTAAAGCCAACCTTTCTCATTTGATTAACACTGAATAGTTCCTTGCCATCCTACAATATAGAAATGACTACAAGTCAAAGGATTCATTGAATACCTTCATTATAGTGACTGATACTGTTGCTTGGTATAGCTGTGGTTTAGGATTGGCTGAGCTGCGTGGTTTCCACAGATAATCATCCATATCTGATGATTTAACAGTATAAGAGAAGAACCTAGCACATTGCTTTACACCAGGAGAATTAGGAAAATTAAAAGGCTACAGGAAAAAAACAATGATAATAATATTAGAAGCAAGTTAATAACACACATCTGCTTGAAATTCCTTGGAAAATGGTGTATTGTCCACTTGAATACTTGTCTGCATAGAATATTGCCCTATGTACAAACACTTTAAAAAACTAGTTCAGATTTGCATACCTTCAACCAGTTGAATGTAGCAAACCAGTGCCTCCATATAGTAAGTCTCATCTGTTTCATTATAATGAGGTTTTGGGACAATTTCAGTTACATACACATCACTAGCAGTCACATAACTAAGGAATATATAATTTGAAGCTCGCAATAATCATTATTATTTTCAGGTACCTGATGTTCTGCCATATGCCAGCAGGAACAAATGCAGGGCCCCAATCCCACCCAAAATCTAAGAATAAGAAATAAATATGATAATATTTAAATAGAGTATTGCCTGATTGAGGTTTCCTAATGAAGTTTCTAGCTGCATGAGGAATATATACACCTGTTGATTTAAATGAGTTTGTCATAACTGCAAATTGAGGTTTATAAAAGTCTCACTTACCACCAAAGTACACATCATAAGGATACTCCTGCTGCTTTTCAACAGAATAGTTTGCTGAAGCCTATAACAATAGACAATTTGTAAAGCTTAATGTGCAGTTACATCTGCACTCATAACTTTCTACCTGAATGTATACTTGAAGAGAATTAGTACCAACTTTAGCTGCATCCTGTATTAAAGATGTACAACTCAGTGATATAATAAACATGTCAACTAACTGTCATATCAAAGAGCCATCTCCTGAAGAAACTATTGCTGCCACCAATTGCTACACCATTGACCCTACAACAGTATAATCTAAAGACTGGTGTGTTCAGTGCATTTACTTACGATACTGTAGCTACTGAGTCAAGTCCATTGCATTTTATAAATAACTTGCGATTTTTCACATCATCATCAGTCAAATCAAATGTTGTCTCATATATCCAGTCACTGTAGGCTATCCATTGATAATTTGCATCATTTTCACCAACTGCATACAAGATATTGTAGTCATAAAGAAAGGAATTGACCCTTTCACTTACAATAAGGATCATCAATGACTTTCTGTGCTCTATAAAAGTATTATATAATTATTGTGCCAAAAGGTCAAACTCACAGTAGGTCAAGATGGACTATTCCAGGGACTGTGGCTGGAAGACCTTTGACCTTTCCAGCAGAATCTGATAGCTGCCAGTTCTCTCCATCTAGTGACCTCTCAATCTGGTCTGCTTTTGTAATGAAAGCTTGCAAAGCAAGGAAAACAGCAATGAAGCTGCAAGAAATCATTCTCCATGCAAACGAACCACACCCACATACAAGCCACACCTTTATTAGCGTGGGCGTTACTCAATGTCATAATTTTTTATTGATAATGATTATTATTTATTGTCCATAATGATAGATAAGATTGAAATAGTAGGAATCAGTTGCAAGAATGTAAGGATCCAAAATCAGTATTGTCTCTTTCAATATCTGATGAAGACAAGTCACCAAAACTAAAGTATTGGAATTTGCTTCTAGCCAAAGATGACAAACACTTTTGCAGGGGATCTCCATACTCTTCCTTTGGAAAATTCAAGAAATGAAAAGTAACGAAACTACAGGACTCAATCAATTCTACCAGTACATGTATACTGATGTTGGTTGGCTGTGCCTGAATAGTTTCATCTACAGGTAATACAGGCATATAAAGAGGTACATCAGCAACAAAATGCTTCAAACGCTTTCTGCTATTGATAGCCAGGGCAGTAACAAATTCAGAAGTGATGAGCGTATCTTTACAACCAAGCCACAAATGAGTGAGGCTACTATACAGTGAAGGATCTACTGGTAGTATCAATTTCACTGCTCCAGTAATAATGAGAACTGAGAGTTGTTGGCAATGCTGAAGGACTTTTTCTAGTCCATTGGTTGAACCAGAATCAAGCAGTGGAAATTCGACTCTTAGATATGTCAAAAATCTGAGATTTGAAACGACCAGAAATAAAAAGTGATGAATGAAACAATCATGGGGTTTTTTTCTATTGAACAGTGGGAAGTCTAATCCATGGCATTTATAACAAATGCCAGAGCCATGGCATAAATGAAGACCTTTGAGTCTGGACATACTCTTGATATAATCGATCATATTAATATCTGAATCTGACAGAAGTAATACCTTATTTCTTCGAGATGGCGAGTCAACAACATTAGGTGGTAACATAAAACAGCTGATGGACAAGAGTTCTAAATACTTCATTTTTGATAAAAGATGCCAAAAATGCTCTTTGTCAATCCTTATGCTGCATTGCAAATGCATGCTATCAGAATAAAAAAATCTTGATAAATTTAGCCCCCTCAGTTTAAGACAGTGTTCAGATAATGGAACCATGTAGGCATCCACACCATCCAAAATACGACTTCCCTGTAAACTAACTTCTAAAACATTTGGTGTTTCTTTGACGATTGAACTGAAGGTCTCAAGTGATATAGTTACACAATCAAAATGAAGAACACTGATGCTATTTCCAAGCTGACTGCTGTAAACTGGCAGAC